AGGGGCCATGTGGATGACCAAAGGAGACCCAGAAGTGTTGAGAAGCATACTTCTGGTTTTTTTTGGGGGGGAAGGGTACTTTTAAAGTACTGTACGGCTTTGAATGTGTTCTTGGTGTTGGTTTGATCTGGGTTTTGTGTGTGTGGTATTTGTTTGATGCTTTTAAATATTTGTATGCTTACTCTTTTTCACTTTTAAATATTGTTTTCTAATGATGTAAGTCACTTTGGATCCTTTCTAAAGGGTGGAGTAATAAGAGTTTAGACAGACAGACGGACGGACGGATAGACAGACAGACAGACAGACAGACAGACAGACAGACAGACAGACAGACTGGCCAGCTACTATGAAAAGCCAACAAGGGAACTTACTGGTAGAAAAGCCTTAAGATCAGTAGCTGCCACTAATTCCCTCTCTTTCATCTTTCCAAGATGAAAGGAGACCCTTTTTTTCCAACAGAGGGAAAGGATTATGTTTAGGGTCTATGAATACATGATGGAGAAAGCCAAAAATAGCACAAGACTTGCTTGCTTTTCATTGTTCTCAACTCGGAAACTCTTTGGTACATGAACCAAGCAAAAGGTGTTAACAGGCTGGATTATTCCTAAGAAGGAATTAAACTGTATTGTATCTAAAAAAGGAAAAGGCAAAGTTATATATAGTTTTATATATGAGTTATATAAAGTTATATATGAAACATGTACCCTGTTTCCCTGAAAATAAGATCTCACCTGAAAATAAACCCTAGTATGATTTCTCAGGATGCTCGTAATATAAGCCCTATCCCCAAAATAAGCCCCAGTTAAATGAAACCCCGCCCTCCACCATTGTGCAGCAACCAGAAGATGACATGACTGTATTGAATAAATGTAGATGGTTGTACATGGAAAAAATAAAACATCCCCTGAAAATAAGCCCTAATGCTTTTTTAAAAGCAAAAATTAATATAAGACCCTGTCTTATTTTCGGGGAAGCACGATATATATAAGAATAATGAAGTTGGAAGGGGCCTATCAGAGGCCATTGAGTCCAAACCTGTACTCAGTGCAGGAATACAAATTAAAGGATATGTGTCCCTGTGTATGAAAAATAGAAACAGATTGTTCCTTCTGATGCTCCCTTTGTTCCATGTAAAATTAAATATGACGTGATCCATGGGCAAGCACATGTAGACATAGTTACTTTTTATGGGACACCTAAAAATCCCCTTAATCATTATTAAGGGCAAGAATCCAACAGTTTTGCATAACTGCAAGTCAGACATCAGAAGCGCTTTGCACCTTATATGTAGAAGCAGATGTGTAAAAAAAAAAAACAGTTTGAATATTATTGAACATGACATATTTAGGGTGAATAGCATTAAATATTCGAGTTGGGGTATTAGATAGAGGCCACTAGAAAAAGGAAGAAAAAGAGGATTTCTTTTCTCCTTTCCTTTTAAAATATATCTCCTGACTCCTGATTTAAAATTCATCTCCCCAATGGGTTTGAGGACACCTTGCATAAATGCTACAAAGCAGGTGATTCTGAGTTCAGCGCATTACCATCTGAAGCCTCATTTCATTGCAATAATTATGCTGTGTCATTTGGTGTTTCTTTTTAAAATATACTTTAAAAATAGATTCCCATCCCCCTCTTTTGACACATAGTACAAACACTGGCTAAAATCCATAAGTAAGATGGAACTAGAGTAGGCCCATTGAAATGATGGAACATATGGAGTTGACATTCTAAATGCCCATTAATTCAATGGGCCTCTCCAGTTGTGATTACTACTGGATTTCAGCCATTAAATGAATGTACCTCTCTAAGTTGAGAGATAAAAAGCACTAGGAAACGTTATCTCCTTTGCAGTAAATATCAGAGTTTTACTGCTGGTGAATAGTTGGTCATCCAGATATTTTGGACTACAAACCCCATGATCCAATTCTACTGGTCCTGCAGGCCAAGGCTGTTAAAGAGGTATCCTAACAAAACATTTGAAGGGCTAAGGATCCCACACCACTCTTTTATGCAAAACCTGACTTGGACAACAAAGTTAAGCTCGTGAAAATCCTCAACGGGATGCGAGAGGCTTAGAGGATCCTTATAATTCCCAAGTCCCTTAATTCTAGTTAATTCGTCAACACTTTTCTATACAGAACATCCCTCACATTCAGCTTGAGATACTTCTTGGTTCTCTTTACAGACAGCGATATCGGTTTACACAAAAGGATCAGTCTTTTGCAACAGCAGCTTAGCGCTTTGGGCCTGGAAGCGGTAAACTCTCCGGGACTCGTTCCAGTACTCTGAATCAGCCCTAACTTGTTCATTCAGCAGCTCAGATGAGCAGGCTCGTTCATCTGGCTTCAGGCCCATTAATGATTGTTCCTCTGGATCACTTGTATGTCTGGAGAGCCCATTGAATTCTGCACACAACTGACTATAGCCAGATACAGTGGGCCCTCAAAACAGATAGCTATGCCAAAGGTATTAATCCTTCTACTGAAAAGAGAAGTACGAAGACTAAAAGCTTGACATAATTTGCTGCAAAAAAGTAACTGTGAGTTATTTCCCCCCCCCCAGTTACTTGAACTGGTCCTACCGTGAGGCAAACTGAGGTAACCAGTTGGGTGTCATCAAAGGCCAGCAAATTGCTTTTTTTAAAGCTTGGCATCAGTTCTATTGATTTTTATCTCCCAGGGTGAGGAGAGATGCTTGTTTCCCCTCATCTGTCAAAGCAACTGGGTTGTTTGGTTGCAATGCCAGTTCTTCTTACCTGTGTGCAGAATGAGTCATTCCATCCACAGTTCCTCTTTTTCTGCTGCTTGAGCAAAGTGAAACTTATTTATTCCCTGAACAAATGGAAAGCCCTGTTGCTTCAAATGGGCAAATTTCCAGCTCACACAACTGCAAGCTGGTGACTGTGAAGACTGCAAACACCTGTGGAGGTGCTATGATCCATGACTGCTAAGGGTAGGATACTGGCTGCTTGGGTAGGATATTGGCTTGTTCATCTTGACTTGGGTAGGTGTGTGGGAAGGGAGGGGATCAGAACTTCTAATAGCGAAAAGTTTTGGATCATCCCTGTCACACTGATTTGTGTCATTTATCTTGTGGCACTTGGCAGGGAACAAAATTACACCTGCAGAAGTCCATGGGGAGTTATTCCACAACTGGTTGCATGCTAGTGTCTTTGGGCAATCTTTAGAACTGACAGCTTCTGCAGACACATCTGGAAAATTTCATTTTCATTTGAAAAAGTGGGCCATAAACTATAACACCTTGTTTACTGCTCATCACTTAACTGTTGCTCTTAGTTCTGCCACCTTGGGGATTATATAGTGTGTGATATGCAGTGGTGCCTCACAGGACGAATGCCTCGGGGGACAAAAACCCGCAAGATGAATGGTTTTTGTGCTTGCTGTGGTGCCTCGCAAGACGGCTTCTTCTATGGCTGTGCTTCGCAAGATGAATTTTTTTTTTTGCAAGACTGATGCCTCGCAAGAGAAATGAATTATTTTAGTCTTGCGAGGTTCCCATATGAATGGACTGCAATGCATTCCTATGGGAAACCACTTTTCGCCAGACGAAAATTTCGCAAGACAGTGCTACTCATGGAATGAATTACATTTGTCTTGCGAGGCACCACTGTATAGTTGGGTATGGCAATGGATTTTTTCCCCTTGTTTGTTTTCCTCTTGTTTAAATTAAATAAATAAACCTTGCTAGTCTTAAAGGTGCCACATAACACTGCCATTCACAGACTACATCCATAGTCAGAAGATGGCTTTGCACAACAGACCACAAGATTGCCTCAGTTTCTCATCTGTAAAACAGGTTCCAACAGCCACATCTTTGGAAAGTTTAAAGTCCAAACTGCTCAGTTCTCAAGAAGAGCTATATAGAGAAAATAAGACAGATTTACAAAGAGGAGGAGGAGGAAGAGGAGGCAAACAACCAAGCAGGAAAAAGGTGGGCTTTTTGACTACATATGTTCATAAAGAAGGATCTGGAACTTCAGAATATTTCATGTGATGGATTTGTTTTCCAGCTTTAGTTCATTTTTTTAACATTGCTGCTGTGGTTGGAGACACTTTTCCCAACATGAAATGAGAGCCATTGATTAGTTAGAAAACCTACATACGTAGATTATACCTTGTATTTTTAAATCTTATATTTCAATTGCTATTTATATCAGTTATCTCCATTCAGGATAAAACTCCCAGTAGTTGAATTATAGGAATTACTCTGACATCGTTTTAAAATTTCCAGAGATCATTTTTTCGTGCTTACGGAAACAGAACATGTTGTCTGTGCAACATTTGTATAAACCTTGGTTATTTTCATAAAATGATCCTGCTGCACTTGTTACAGTTTAAATGCATAAAGCAAACAAACAAAACAAGAAAAGGGGACTGCCATTCTGAGCCTCCATTAACCTCAATGAGTGAAGCACTCCAAGCTTTTTATTTGCACGAAATCAATACAGAAATGAGCAGCAGCCTAGCTGGAGGATATGCAGACAAAAGAAACTCCCATGTTTTGATGGTGCTATATCTGGCATGCCTCCTCTCAGTGATTTAGATACATACACATGTATTCATTCTCCTGAGCTGCTGCAATTGAACTGCATTGAATGTCTCTTAAATACGGCATGGTTGTCTATTGTTTCCTCCGGCAGCAATCAGGAATGCCAAAAGGATTTTAAAAGCCAGGGAGGCTGCCAGCTCCAATATTAGTGGGACAATAAATTTGCTTGGGGTGGTAGTGGTGGTGGTCCAGACTTCAAGGGAGCTCTCCAAAGTGCTGAATCTCTTTTTGAAATAGGATTTATGATCTTGAACATCTCTTATAAAGTTTGGACCAAAATCCTGAGAGGATTCATCTCCCCACTGATTTCACAGGCACCAGCGTTTTCCTTACTGATGCCCAAATGCCATGTTCAGACTCATCAAAACTGCATATTCAGGCTCATCTACACTTCCATTACTATCTAACAAAACATGGCACATCCATACCTTTCAGTGTCCGGAAGAGAATGGGATCCGACAGAGGCCCCACTCCTTTGGCATTACGAGCTTGTATTCGGAAGTAATACACGGTGTCCAGATTGAGGTCCATGATTTGATGCGTAAGCCGGTCACCGCTAATTGACTCCATGACCCAATCGTCAATAGGGGAGTTCTTGTCCAAGGTGTAGAATAAGATGTACGCTGCAAATATTGCCACAAATATTATTTCTTACGTATGGGTGAGAATTCCATTTAATTCCATTTAAGAATTTTGTTTTTTAAATACAAATTACCAAATACAAAAGTTTAAAAATAATATTTAAACATATGAATGTGGGAGAGCTTGAAACTAAACAGATTCAATCAGGCTTTAAGGGCTTTATTTGTAAAAGTCCTGTTCTGATCTCTTGATATTCAACCAGGCTAAAACTGAACTGGGCACCTACCTACCTACCTACCTACCTACCTACCTACCTACCTACCTACCTACCTACCTACCTACCTACCTACCTACCTACCTACCTACCTACCTACCTACCTACCTACCTACCTACCTACCTACCTACCTACCTACCTACCTACCTACCTACCTACCTACCTACCTGCACAACAGACTGGTACTACACAGTCCTATCCATGCAAGGATGAGCTATACTATTGAATTTGGTTGGTACAGCAATTATTTCAGTCCATTTATGCAGAATTTCTTTCTGATGAGAATGAGAAAAACTTACAGGTTTAATAAAGCCAAGGTCCTATAAAGTCAAACCACTTGCATTAAAAGACACATGACTATTTGATGCTTAGACAAGCCCAAGCACACCAATCATGATGGCCATCTCCAGCTACATAACAGCAGTGCCTGCACTACTGTGAGATGCCAGTTCCTGTGCCAGCCAGCAGAGCATTATGGTATACTTGTTCCCAACAGGATACCAACTTACAAAACAAGAGTGGGAGAAACCAGAATGGGCATATTTTCCCATCTTTGTTCTTTCTCTTACTATACTTAGCACACAACCTATTCCTCTCCTTACAGTATGTAGTGCACCTTTTAAACAAATGTTAATAGTCATATTGTGTGAAACCTGCAACCAATAATAATAACTGAACATATTCCCCTTATTTCAGTAATGAATGGCCCGGACTCATTATAAATATTATTCAGAGCTTAGTGCATGCTTGATGCGGGTCTCTGTGTGAGCACCTCAGTAACATCCAAGCTGCTATTAGACTCAAGGTTACGCAATGCTCCTGTATATTCATATACAGTGGGGTCTTGACTTGAGAACTTAATCCGTATTGGAAGGTGGTTCTCAAGTCAAAAAGTTCTCAGGTCAAATCTGCATTTCCCATAGGAATGCATTGAGAACCATTTGATCCGTATCTGCTCTTTTCCGTCCATAGAAACTAATGGGAAGCTGCTATTCTGCCTTCGACCACTAGAGGGGGATATTTTGTTTCTTTTTTTCTTAGGTCAAGAAAGGTTCAGGGAAGGCAGGGAAAATACAGTCCAGGCAGTAGAGTACCAG